AAATTTCGCATACTGATTTTTGACCGTTCCCGAATGGTTTTCGTACTTAAAAAATTTTTCTTCATTACTGATGACAATAGTTACAAAATAACGCTAGCTTTTCAGTCAAGTTCATTAGAGTCCGCTAGATATCGTCGAACTATAACTGAAGCAACCTGCAATTGAAGTCAGTGAGTCTGATAATAATATTCTCAAGCAAAATGTCGCTTATCGAAGTTGTTTACTTGTATTTTTGCAAGAACAGTGCTGTTATTCGTGCAGCTAAATTTTTCGGCTACTCTGACGACACTCTGAAAGTCTGCAATGGTCAAGAAACTTACACTGGTTTCCACGTTGGATCGCTAAAAAAAGATGACCGAGTACTAAAAAAAAAAAAATCGTTTAAAATGCCAAAATCCCTGGCCTAATATTAGAATAAGTCTAGCAAGAACACAGATAGCTCCAATGCTCAAGGGCAATAAGCCTGCTAAAGCACCACTTGCTATAACAGCAAGCCAGAGTAAACAACCTTAAGAAGTTCAGGTTGCCACATCTGCTAGAAATATCATCAGTCTCTGACTGGGCAGTCTTCAACAAGCAAGCGTCACGAACAAATCTCCTCATCTTGGACCTTCAAAACGACTGAAAAATAAAAAGAAAATAATAAAAAATAAAAAAAAAAACTTAAAATGCTCCAAACAGGTTCAATTTATAAATCAAGAAACTAACACAGAACATTAAATCAAAATTGAAACAGCAGCGTCAAACTGACGAAAAAAAAATCTATTAGAACCCTGACATTAATTACTCTAATTTTTTAGTTATTTAAGTACGTGGAACAATGTGTATTCATTGTGGCGCTGAAAAATATAGATCCAAAGCTGCAGGACTTTGTTGCTCTAGTAGTAAAATTTTGTAGTTGAAAAAAAACAATTTGATTATACATTTTTCGTCAGTTTTGAACCATTTCAGCTTTGACAAACAAATTTTTTCACATACTATAAGGTAAGAAAATACCAATTTACGGCCGTTTTTAAGGCCAACAACTATTTTACGACATAAAAAACGCTCGTTACTTTTCAGCATTATTATATTACATTTACTTTTTGACAGCTTATTATTTAATAAGAATTATGTACACTCCAAATAAAATTTGGATTTTTTAAAATTTGGATCCCAATTTTAATTTGAATTTTTTCATTTCGAAAAGTGTCCAGAATGTGTGCAAAATTTCAAACTACCAACGTTGTAAGTTAAGTTTCAACACACTAAGGTACTTTACTCAGTGAATTCCGAGTGAAGTCAAGAGATGCCTGCTACCCTGCTTGTGATACATTGTTTCGTCGGCACGGAGTATTATTTGGGTCTAAGTTTGCGCTTGATAATCCGGGACTTATACTAGGTTCATATGTGGGACGCGGGGCTAAGAAATAGTCGGAAATACGTGGTAAGGTACCCGAACTAAAAACCGTGATTACCTTTGTTAACTCGAAAAAAGTTTTAACGGCTTGGAGCAGCTGCTGTGCTATATCGCGATGCACCTACTAACGACGTCCTAGAGGTTGCCACTACTATCTGAAGCGGTGAACAGAAGATGTCTCGTTTCGGGATGTAGAAGCTACCAATACCGTCACGAGTAAAAGTAGTTGCTCTAGAGTTGACGCAAGGTGCAAATTATGGTTTTAGGTCGCAACCAGTCTAGAAGCCACCAATACCGTCACGAGTAGAGGTGATTGCCCTAGATTTTACGTATAAAACAACTTGTTATTTATTCTCGTAATCTAGAGGCTACCAATACCGTAACTAGTACTGATGTAAGCTCTAGAAGTTATGTCCACCTCGGAAAAAAACCAAAAAAAAGGTTCAAGAACTTAATAATTTTCAATAAACTTCCTTTCATTTTTTAAATCTCAAAAGCCATACACGCAGTGAACCAGTGTGAGGTGTCCAAAGCTAAGGTTAAACCGCACTCGTGGAGAACCGTGTGGTAGCAGAGGTGACTACCAGTCGACCGTTTGAGGGTAAAAATAAAACTGAGTCTTTTTAGGGGCCTCCGAGGCTTTTTACAGGGAGTAGCAGCAGACCTCGGTCACGCGCTGGTTTGAAAATGACGCAGAAATTCTTGCCTGGGAAAAATCTTAGCAGAAAAGCAATCGCCGAAAATCTTATTGGCTAGAACTGCTCTAGTTAAGCCACTCAAAAGTTGGCACTTTCCATATTCGGCTTACTCTCTTACATGCGTCAAAAGAATGCAAGGTGATTATTTCACTTATATCCTTCCTTTTTCCTTTACATAAAAATCTTACAGAATTTCATTGTAGCTTAATATTAATGTGTATATAGAAAATTACGTGTATTTACTAATGCTACGAACTGTTTGTTTATTCAATTAAACTGGTTGTAAAAATAGCGGTAAAAATCGCTTCATATTCCTTTCTTTTAACTGTTTGATTGAATAAACGTTCGGTGCGTTATGGTATTGAAAATAATTTTAATAGTAGTAACGTTAAGACAGTAATGACCATAATAGTTGCTAGATTTACCGTAGGTAACACCTGTATTCATATCCATCAATTAAGTAAATTTATAATAACAAGAGATTCATTAATTAGCAACAACGGTCGCTGTAGTTAAAACATTTATATCTATAGGAGCGCGTGGTGGCTCAGTCGGCTAGGTCGTGGATTGGCACGCGGGGAGACCGTGGTTCGATTCCCGGCCAGTGCGACTTTTCGGGCCAGTACCTCTGTGATTTTTCACATGTGCTTTTTCACCACGCAATGCTCCTCGAGGAGGGTTAAGGCGACCTCCTCGCAGCAAAATTGCTTATTTTCCCCTACCCCCCTCCCAGTAATGGGGAGGCCTCCTATCCCTCTTCCCTTCCTTCTCCAAAGTGTTAAGTGCCCATAGTAGTGCCCTTATTAAAGGAGCCAGACGTAGAGCACTATAATTAAAAAAAAAAAAAATTTATATCTGTAGTAACAGTAGTGTCGTGCTAATCGCGAGCCATTGATTACTAACTTAATTAAATTTATTGGTAGTTTCAGTTAATTGTTAATTGCTAATGTACTTATAAATGTTAGTAGCATTTGGTCAACTCATTGCTCTTTGCTCGTCGCTAGAGAGGAAGTCGGTTCATAATGTCATGGGTAATCAAAAATTCTGTTACCCGTGTTGAGGCAGAAGTACGAACTCTCTCTCTCTCTCTTTCTCGACATCTCTGAGTCAGGAAAAAGAGAAAACACTATGACATTCCTGTTTTCCTTTACATTTGAAAAAGTAATAAAATTTAACCGGTTTACAAATTAGGCTATTGCAGATGGCTTATGAAATTATTAGTATGATAAAAAAGTTATTCGGGAAATCGTGTGTCTGCGAAGATGAATGGTAAAAATCAGATAATTTCTTGAAAGTTAATAATATTGCTCTACTATAAGTTTACCGTAGTTGACACTTATGGATGTTATATATAGCTATTACTTACTACGGGTGTAGCATGTATAAGTTTGTTTTCGTATTTCAACTGTATGTATTAATTCTAAGGTATATAAAAATATTAGAAACTAATCTAATTTTACCGATGGGTAAGTATTAATGCGAGTTATTGAATTTATCGAGATTTCCTATCCAGTTTGAGATTGCCAAGGCAACTCGATTTTTCAGTTGAAACTACAGATTTGTAGAAAAATTGTCATACGTAACAATTAAAAAGTGCCACCTTGATCAAGGTTTGAACTTGGAACTCTTTCCTTGCCGGGAAAGCGCGAAAGCGTGGGAAATGTCAATAAATTCAATTACTTGTATTAATTCTAAGTTATTCTAGCATTTAATATTATTTTCGTTTGATCTTAGTCTATATGCGTTAATTAGAAGTTATTCTTGCATTTAATATTATTTCTTAGTGCAGCTGTTCCCAGTTAAACTTTAGCGTCTATTGGTTTTTGAAATGCTCTTAGTTATTTGTACATAAAATAATATCAGTTTCTTATCTCTGGTCAGCATAGGCCTCCAAGCCTGTGCGTGAATCATAGTTGGTCATGGTGCTGCAACTACGAGCAAACTTGCAGGTGATTCACCTCTTTTCAGATGCACGTTGGTCCCTACTTAATATGCTTTCCGAATCAGCATAGGGAGTTCTCAAGGAATAAGCAAAAATAAATAAATAATTATTAGCAATTGTATTAGCTGGCATTTCAACGGATTACTCTCGCACATTCTCCGATACCGCTTAATTATCAATCAAATGATTTCTAACAGTAGAAATATCAAATTTTTTTTTAAATTAGAATGACTTACTTCAAAAGTATCTACTTCTGCACTCTCGTACAGGAATACAGATTACGTTCGAAAGAAAAAAAAGTGCTAACTAATTGAGTACTTAGATACCCTACTTAATCAACTGCTATTTATGTTGTGTTGTTTCTGTCTAACATTTTCGTAATAAGCGTCATTACTCTAAATAAAGGTCGTAACACAAACTCAGTGTGACTAGGAAATTACGTTCCTGTGTTTTTACCTCAACATTTTTGTGAATGTAAAATTAAATAAAAACTTCAGGTCACACTTGACAGTTATTTTATTTTGATTTTTTCTGTGTGATTAAACTTGTAAGGAACATTATTGTTTACATCAGAGATCTAACGCTTTAATATTTAGCTGATTTTAATTTTAAACTTGCAAGGAACATTATTGTTTACATCAGAGATCTAATGCTTTGATGTTGAGAGATTTAATGCTGTTAAAGTGCAATAAGTTAACGCAGTGTATGAGAACATTTTCCAAAAATTGTTTGTAATTCAACGTTCATATCTTATATCGATGGTTTCTTGAAATATTTTTGAACTACGTCGTATAATTGCATGTGAAACCATTCTTTTTTTATTTTCTAAGCAATTTAATACCATGAAATATTATGATGATAACTTCACTGAAAGTATACTACAAGTTTTTTGTATTATAAAAAATAAATCAAGTAGTGTAAAGTTACAGTGGACTTGTTTAAATAAATACATTTTTTTCAGTAATAAGTGCTCAACTCAAGAAAATTCAGTGTATTGGAAAACTTTTGATGAAACCACGTACAGTGCACCAATAAGCGCTAATGGTCACAGGAACGAAAATGAAATGACATATGCAACTTCTACACCAACATCGCCCATTAAAGATAAAGATAAATTCGAACGCTTATACATACTAGTTGATGCAGCGGTTGCCATTCAAAACCAAGAACAAAAAAGGAAGAAACTTTTTAACTGATTAAATAAGTAAAAAATCTTTAAAATTTCGAAATAAAAGCTCTAAAACCAGAAGCGAATGTATTTTTGAAATATTATCAAGCAGTTTACTTATCATTCATTACATATATTAACTTCAAAATTATTCATAATAAAAGAACTTATGAGTTGAAAAACTTTAACTTGATGGTTGCACAAAAATAAGTCATACCAAGCAGCTTATGCACCCTTCCCTATTTTACGAAGCACAATAAAACATGTAAACTATAGCTTATGAAAATTTGTCTTCAAAGTTAATTACAAAGTTTCATAAAAGTTGGCTCAAAATATAGCGGTTGTTAGTAGTTTTTAGAATTTTTTTAGAACGACAGCTTATCTTTATTTAGATAGTATTTTATAGGAAAATTTTCGTTTCCTATATTAAAATGCATGCTATAAATATTTCTTACTAANTTTTTTTCTAGAAAAAATACGAAAATTCAATTCGTTAACGATAAGTGTTCTAAACTTCTCACAATTTAGAACTATGCAAGTTAAAAGTTGAAATTGTAATTATTAAATTTCTTAGCCGTTTAAGGGTTTATAATGTATTAATAAAAAATAATTTTTACATACTGAAAAAAACTGATTTTTTTATGGTTCAAGATGAAATATAAACAATTCATTGGTAAAATGAAAAATGTTATCGAATTATAACTTCAACCATAAAAAATTATTATTGTCTTATTGTATACTGTGGTCAACATATTAACTGTAAATAACTTTTTATCTACAAAGGGTCATTAGAAAGCTATGAATCTAAAATTAATATAAACTAGACTTTCAGGTTTATGCAAGTCTGTTTATGAGAAATTTTGAAAAAGTGTTGATAAAGCTGACATGATCTAAATTCTTATAGTTATTAAAAAAAATCTTATAGAAGTACACAATGAAAAGCTCAATCTGTGCCATACCAATAAAATACTTTTGTAATGTCAAGACCTGAAAAATTTGTTCTTTTTTTTTACTTTTAGCTAGTTAATAACTAAAGTTGTTTTGAATATAATAATTGTTTTGTGTCTATTTACTTTTAAAGAAACTGGAATTCTACTTTCCAAAAATATTTTGAATGAAACACTTACCACTGACCAATGCAGTTTTGAAGTCGAAGAGATCACTGAATCTGCATTCAGGGGTTTTAGGATCGCTATTTACAATTTTTTTTTTAGCAGAATTTTAAAAATATTTCAAATTTCAAAGTGTGAAACTGATTGTTTCATACATTCTTATTAAAAGAAAAGATAATATTCTGAGTAATTACCTTGTTTATTTGTTTAGTTCTCTTGTTAAAAATTTGCAAAATCAAAAAAAATATTGTTTTTAAGCGTCTCGCACAATAATCATGGGGCCTGATAAGGAGTTATTTGTACTTTACCCAATTTTTAATATGTATTATTAAATTTTAATACCAATAATAAAAATAAGATAGTAGAAATGATTATTTTATTATAAATTATTTAAAAATAAAGTCAATGAGAGTTTCTTATGTATCTGTATCTTTATTTTCTAATATCAAACTAAGAGTTAACATTATCAACAGATCAAATGCTTATTGTGATGTATGTATTTAAAAAGACTAAAATAATTTCATTAACAATAAGTGGATTTTTCTAGTATATATGTATAAAAAATCTGCCAAACCCATTCATTTGTAAGTTATAAAATCATGCACAAGACATCTATGCCACTGCAATACTTAACCTACCGTCTGCTGTTCATAAATTTGCTTTACATTTTACAACTCGCTGTCTAGAATACTTTCATAAAAAAAATGCAGATACAGTTTTTTTTGATATTTTTTGACCCATTAATCTAAATTATTTACGTATTGCACTTACATTTTAGATCCCAATTCGAGGGAGTCAAAAATTTTAATCATTTTTTTATTAGTTTCGGACCACTGTGCACCATCTTCATAAATTATAATAAATGGTAGTTTTCGTCAGATAAGTGCCATTATCTCCGGGGTTATTTTGCGGCCCAAAGAACGTATGCCAGTAACGGTGCGATGGTGCTTATGTGGCGAATCCTATTTTTTCTACCAAAGGCACAACAGCCTCTAAAAAACACAAAAAACGCTCGAGGTAGAAAAATTAATTTTTCTTACCATGGGTACAAAGTGCAAATGCAGCTTTGCTCCCTTGGGCCATACTTAGCGCCTTAGTTATTACTTTAGGCCCGCAAGTAAAAAAATTTTCTGTGCCCCCAGGCCAAAACTAACTGGGCTAAAAATTGCAGTTTGCACCGTCGCTAAGAAAACCAGTATACCTGGGCACAAAAATACAAGTAGGCCCTTCGGTGCTAATGTTTGTCTTTTGTGCCTTAGTGACACAATGTACCATAAATCTATGCATAATAACACTCATAGGTATTGAATATATTAACTATTCATTATTCGTATACTTGAAGTCTATCTATTTGCCTGCTGAGCTATGTGAGAAATTATACGAAAATAAGTATACACTCGAGTGTGTAGGAGTCTGTAGAAAGCAGTCAAGAAAAGTCCTTATTTCGTGAGTAGTAAAGGTAATTAACATGCTGCAGGGAAAATATGCAAAATGACCTTAACAAATATCTATATAATAAGATCATACATACATTTGCACATGCATTTGTCTTCCTATGTACTGTAGAAGGGCATTCCACATACCTCTCCACAGCTGCCCTAACACCATTTTTGAGGAATCTGACATCTTCACGGACCCGGACACTCACGTAAGTATATATAGTATTTTATTTTTGAATTTATTTTATTACGAAACAATGATAAAAAATAACTCCACCGTTACTTTTTAAAATTATATTTAATGTATTACATTTATACACAAATAAAGATAACGAATCATCTCATACATGTATATACATTAGTAGACATTACTTGATTGTAAAATATAAATTCATGACATAGTAGTGGTGTGTGTACGTTGTGTAAGTGTAAATAACATGAAAATCGTATTTAAATAAATACATGGATTTAAAAATAATTCATCTAATTATATATAAAACCATTGCATAATTTCGGTCAAAGATTTATTTGTTCATTTATTTTATAAAATAAATAGTAAGTTTCTAGATAAAAAAATAATTTTTTTCATGTTAAATATGTTTTGTACTTGATACATATTTATTTGCGAAAAAGTTTNTTGTGCCTTCGGGTTTTTATCTTTTACTTTGGATGTGAACAACTTCTTGAGAGTTTTAAAATGTAAGAATTATACTTATATCTTCTGAAATTATTTTATTATTATAAAATTACGAAATGGCCTTACCAATAACAAGTATCAGCTTACCAAATTATTGAATAAAATAAAAATAAAAGTTTAAAAGAATAAAATACCTGACATTATGAGAGCCCATAGAAAATAAAGGCCCAATTTGGCAACATAGTGTTTCTTTGTTTCGAAAAAAAAGTATGCTTTGTATTAAAAAAAAATTAAATACTAATTAGTGTAGTATCAAATTGTAATATTTTTTTTAGTAAACGTACAAGTATAAACCTTGAAAATGTCTAAACGTGACAGCTTTATGACGTATACACGTAATACGTCCGAACAAGTTTCAACAAAAACATATAAATATATATATTGGCTCCAGAAAATCGCACATAAAGTTTTTCTTTCATAAATTCGTTAAAAATATCGCCTATCAAACAATATTAGTGACAGTGAATAAAAAAAATTTTTAGAGAATAAATGATGATTTTGATTAACGAAAAAAAAAAAAAAAAAATTTGAACCAATTTTTTGCACATCATCCATTAATTTGAAAATCGTGCAATTCTCATACATGTTACAATAACTTAGGCCCTGAACTGCTTGGAAAGACCACAGAATGTATCAGCTATTTTTGCAACAACGATTTTTAATATTTAAAGCTACACTTTCAGTAAATTTAGTTGAAAAATAAAAATTCTTAGAGGAATACAAGTATTTAAAAAATGTGATTTTTAAGTTTTCTTTCACACAAAAAATCGTTTGTTAATATTTTGAGGTCCAACTTTGCTAGATCAATCCAAATCAGTATTTATAGAACTTTGTGTAAGACTTTTTTCAATACAAAGCTTACTTTTTTTTTAAACAAAAAAAAGTATTATGCCAACTTGGAACTTTATTTTCTATGGACCCCCATAATGTCAGTTGTTTTATTCTTAGTGCATTTATTGTTACGAAAAAATTACCGATTTTTTATTTATCTTTGAATACTGGATCTCAACTTGGGCCCTGAAATCGTAGACAGTCTGGCCTATTACTTGAATTTCTAATAAACATCGCTACTGCTCCAACTTTTAAATTTAATTCATGATGTGTAACAATTAACAAATAATATTTATAACTACTGTTGTATAATTATATACTAATGTAATGCTTGATCTACTCTATGATAAAAGACAGTGGTTTTTTTAATAAATTGAAAAAAATTTCATTTGAGAAATATTTAATTTCATTATGGGTCGTTGAAATGATATTATTCACATTTGAATTGAACTACTACATACATTCAAACATACGTTATCTGTTCACCAATTTTCTGGGATAACGAATGCTTTTACACTTAAATTTTCTATTTTCAATAATAATTTTAAAAAACTAGCTTAATTTAAACATAAATTATAACTGAACTTAAATTTTTTTTTATGACGAACATGAACATGAAAATTTTTTTGATTTCAATATTATTTTAGATCTTCTGCTTTTTCAATGACTTCTGTTTGATAATTCGTTTGTTTCCAAATGGTTTATCTTTATCTCTTACGTCTCCATGAGTTTAATGAACGATTTGTCAACTTTGTTTTAGGTTATTGATACTTTATTATAAATAATTATATTATTTTTCCGCTTCTTTCCTTATATTGTAGTTCTAAGAATGCACTTTCAAAATGGTCTATTTCTATCGGTAATTTAAAAGTTATAAGATTTGTCTGTCTTCGAGAGTGATACCAACGACCCAATTTTCGAATATCGGTTAAATACTTTATTGCATTAGTTTACCTTTAGAGTTCAATAAATACA